CCCGAGCCACGTCCAGGGGAAGGGTCCCTGGGCCCCCGCCAGTTGTGGCCAGGGGAAGGTCCCTGTGCCACCTCCAGCCACCACCACGATGCCTCTTGGTGGCACGAAGAGGAGCCAGAGCTGGAGGAAGCTGAGCCACAGGGAAGGAGCAGAGGCTGAGTTTGGTCTCAGACACACTTTTTAATTAAATCTTTCAACAGGGGAAGACAGAAAGAATAAAATAATGCTCACAATTCCAGAAGCCTGCCTGGCACAGCGTCTGGTCCCCAGAGCCCTGCTCAGGAACTGCTCATGGGAGCCCTGTGGGGCAGCAAAGCCACACGGTGGGGGTGGCTCCATCCAGCATTGAGGGTCTCATGGACCAGAGGGGACAGCTCACCAGGGGACCATCCCATCTTGCACCATCCCATCTCCAGCCACGCAACCCATCTGGCAGGTCACACCATGGAGCTGCTCTCTCCCACCTTCTGCAAGAGCTGTGAGAGGGACAGATCCTGCTTAGCCAGGAAACCCTCCAGTGCATCCTCGGGGGGCTGTGGGGAGGCCGTGGTGACCTTCCCTGTCCCATCCCAACCACGGCGACCAGGATCGAGAGCACCCAAGGGCTACAAACCCCACGGGTCACACCAGCCTGGGAGAACTGAGCCCAGCACCCTGCTCACCTTGCTCAGCACCGGGATGTTTGGCAGCCAGCCCAAAAACCCAAAAGCCACCGGGAAAAAACTCCTGTATCAAACCAAAACCCTCTGTTAAGCTCCGTGTTGGGCTCTCGCTGGGATGGGAGCAGTGGGGGCTCTGCCCAGGGCACCCACACCGTGCTGGGACAGACCTGAAGAGGGTGATGAAGCCATAAGTCTCCAGCAGCATGCCCAGGAGGGGCCACTTCATGAGGACGATGACGAGCCCCCCAAAAAAGAAGCTGGTGCCCTTCAGCTTTGGCCGTTGGAAGAAGAAGGTGAAGGTCCTCTTGAAGCCAATGATGAAGACCAAGCCAGAGAGGAAGAGGATCTGGAGGGATGAAGAGGAGCAGGTCAGAGAAGCCCTGCCTAGATGGACCCTTTGCTCCTTTGGGCTGCAGGAAGCCCTGGGCCTGGTGTACTCACATTCCCAAAAGCCAGGAGCACTGAGTCAAAGTACAGGAGCACCCCAAAAAGGATGAAGAAGAGGCCAAATCCAACCAGTCCTACCCCGATCCCTGCAGAGGGTGGGAGGAGGGCTGAGATTCAGAGGCACACAGCTCAGCTCCTACCTTGGGCTGCAGTTATCCTCCTCAGCACCTCCCCGACCTATTCCCTCCTGGAAATGGGCTTTGAGTTTGTCTCCAAAGCTTAGAAGCATCCTTTCCATTTGCCCAAGCCTTGGGGAGACCGTTGGGTCCCCCAGAACTCCTCAGGGCTGCAAGATGAAGAGTAAACCACAAAGAAAAACGCAAGAAGGAAGGTTGTCTCCAGCATTGGCACGAAGAGTATCCACACAGGCAGCAGGTGGGAGAGGCTGGTGATGGTCTCCAGAACACCAGGCACCTCCTCAGTCGTTCCTGGGGTACCCAGGGCAGGGGGTGAGGGCACAGCCCACCCTGCAGGACCCCACTGCTGGTCCCCATGTCCTGGGCAGGGTTCCCACCACATCCCCCTGCCCCATGACCGCAGCCTCCAGCCCTGACTGGAGGTGCTGAGGAGCATCCTTGGTGCCCCAGGGATGGGCACTACCCCTGGGGATGGGCATTGCCCCCAAGGTGGGCACTGCCCCCGGGATGTGGCCACCCCAGCCCGCTGGCTTACGCTGGAAGTCGCTCAGAGCCACCATCCTGCCCGGGGTGAGGCTGGGCCAGGGCAGCTGCCCTGCCACGTGCCACCCCCTGGCAGTGACCCTTGGAAAGCCCTTTGGTCCCCACGTCACCCTGCAAATCATTAACAGGCTCCTGGCAGCTCCCTCCTTTGGGAGGGACGTGGTGGCCACGGGTCCCTGCCCCGTCCTGTCCTCCCTGGGAACAGGGGGGGGCTCGGAGCAGTCCCCAAATCAGCCCCCTGAGCCCCCCATCCAGGCACCTCTGCACCCACATCCCCCGGGAGAGCCCTCAGGGACCAGCTCCACCCACCCACAGACCTGCTGCTTTCATGCCATGATGTATACCAGGAACAAACTCGGGTTTTATTCCTTCCTGAGCAGCTGGAACCATCTCCATGGGGAAAACAGCCCCCCAAAAACAGGGAGAGGGAGGAGAAGGTGCCACCAGCCCTGGGGTGGGCAGTGGGCGAGGTAAGACCCTTCCCCAGTAGC